ATCAGGTGGAGCTCACACGTGCCACAAGGCCATTCTCTTTTTCTTTTAACAGTTACAAGTTGATCTTTGCCTTTCACCTCCTCTCAGCTTTTAGGGCAGAGGAGAAGGTGAGGAGTGATCAAGAAAACCATACCTGCATTTATTCAACATTTAAGCTATTCTATTACCTAGGATTTATAATTCAGCTCAACAAATAGTATTCCATCATCCAAGCAGAAAGGCAGGTGTTAAGGAGTCAGCGAGTACACACTGTAAGCTTGCTACTACGGGCAACACTCTGCTCTTAGGTGCCCAAGACATAGCAGTGGGCAAAACAGAGCAGCCCAACTCTGGATCTCCGGACAGCCCTGAAAATCTTAGAACATCTCAGACTTAACATGTCCAGAGGCCCGGCACGGTGGCTCACGCCTGTAATCCTAGCTCTCTGGGAGGCCGAGGTGGGTGGATTGCTGGAGGTCAGGAGTTCGAAATCAGCCTGAGCAAGAGTGAGACCCCGTCTCTACTATAAATAGAAAGAAATTAATTGGCCAACTAATATATATAGAAAAAATGAGCCGGGCATGGTGGTGCATACCTGTAGTCCCAGCTACTCGGGAGGCTGAGGCAGGAGGATCGCTTGAGCCCAGGAGTTTGAGGTTGCTGTGAGCTAGGCTGATGCCACGGCACTCACTGTAGCCTGGGCAACAAAGTGAGACTCTGTCTCAAAAAGAAAACACGTCTAGAACTGAAATCTTCCTAATCTACCCACCCAAACGCTGCTACCCTTCTCTTGCCGTAAGTCATGGTACCATCCTTGATATCCTCTTTTAATTCAGCAACACTGGCACTGCTGAACCTGCATCCCCATGTGGTAAAATGGGCTCCAGGCTCTAGCTTCTCCCTCTCTCCAGTCTGCTCCGTCCCCAGAGCTCCCTCTTGTTCCTATCACTGAAGCCAAGTCTCCAAGGCCTCACATCATCTTCCTGGGCTGCTGTTTTCTTTATAGTGGAAGTAAGGGCAGCATGCTCACAGCAACCTCAAACTCCCGGGCTCAGGCGATCCTCCTGCCTCAGTCTCCCGAGTAGCTGGGACTACAGGCATGTGCCACCATGCCCGGCTCATTTTTTTTCTATATATTTTTAGTTGGGCAATTAATTTCTTTCCATTTTAGTAGAGACGGGGTCTTGCTCTTGCTCAGGCTGGTCTCCAACTCCTGACCTTGAGAGATCCGCCCACCTCGGCCTCCCAGAGTGCTAGGATTACAGGCGTGCCCGGCCATGAACTAGGTCTTAAAAGCTATGTTTATTAAAAGTGAGACATCAAAGAAATGCCAAAAGACTATATTGGTTAAAGAAAAACAGGAGAAAGAATACTGCTTTTTGGAGGTAAAGAATATCACATACTTCTAAATACAAGGTAAGGTTCCCTTCTCCTCAAAAGTTACTCCCTAAAAGAGGAAGTAGATTTACTTTCAAAATCTCTTCTCTTCTAGCATTCTCCTATTTCCTTTATTTTGATTAAGAGTGTTTGGGGGAAGAAATCTCAGCCCAAAATGACTAATTACTGCAAGGTCTGGATATTTAAAAGAGGTGGCTCGGTACAATTCCAATCAATTTTGAAAAAAGGCAAGTAATTTAACACCGATTTACTAATTATTGCTAGAGGCATGCCTTCATAATAGCAATGATTAGATTCCTTACAAACAAGCATTTAACTAATTCAGTAAGTGGTTACTCTGATCATATAAGGCCAATGGATGCTTGTGGCTTCAGATAAAATTTCCAAAGACAGCACCCTATATAGTTTCACAAAGTGCAGGAACACACACCATTTACACAGAAGCAATTATGGTGCATTCTGGAAAACTGTCAGATGGTGCAAAGACTAAATGATATAAACCATATCAAAGACCCACAAGAAAAGTCTGAACAGGCTGGGCGTGGTGGCTCACGCCTGTAATCCTAGCACTCTGGGAGGCTGAGTAGGCAGATTGCTCGAGGTCAGGAGTTCGAAACCAGCCTGAGCAAGAGCAAGACCCTGTCTCTACCATAAATAGAAAGAAATTAATTAGCCAACTAATATATAGAAAAAAAATGAGCCAGGCATGGTGGTGCATGCCTGTAGTCCCAGCTACTCGGGAGGCTGAGGCAGCAGGATAGCTTAGGCCCAGGAGTTTGAGGTTGCTGTGAGCTAGGCTGACGCCACGTCACTCACTCTAGCCTGGGCAACAAAGCAAGACTCTGTCTCAAAAAAAAAAAAAAAAAAAAAAAAACACGTCTGAATAAAAATGTCTTATAAAATATGAAACTGAAAAAGAGTAGCAAATATATTTTGTATGACTTTAAATATGCATCTAACCCAAACAGTAAATAATTCTAGATAGACTATTTGACCTATATTCCCTAAAGCTTTTATATTTAGGTTGGCCAAAAAAAGCTATTTTGAGGAACTTTTCATTAATGTTAGCTTACTTTTGGGCACTTACAGTAATCCTCTGAGTCTTTGCCTCAGCCTTCCAAGTAGCTGGTAATATAGGCATGGGCCACCATGCCCGGCTCATTTTTCTGTATCTTTTTAGTTTGCCAATTAATTTCTTTCTATTTTTAGTGGAGACAGGGTCTCACTCTTGCTCAGGCTGGTTTCGAACTCCCAACCTTGAACAATCTTCCCACCTCAGCCTCCCAGAATGCTAGGATTACAGGCTGCACCAGGCCGCTAAGAGTTAATAAGCAAACAAAACATGTCATTTCATTATATTTGCATTTATACCTGGCCCCTGGAGACATTAAGCTTTGACTTTTGGGCCCAGCCCACTCAGAGAGGAATTCCCCCACTCACCTTCTCTCATCTTTTGGTCTAATTCATCCAGTGTTGGTTCGATCAATTCCCAGCCATCTGGAGGTGCTTTCCGGCTTCTTTTGACTTTAGGCATTTCCTCCTCCACAAGACAATGCAAAAAGATCTGGGGGGAAAAATTAAATGAATTAGTTTTTGAGCTTCAGATCCCCAAAGGCCTTCACCAGCCAGTATTTTGTACAAGTTCACTTCCTTGTGGCAGCATAGGGTAGTAGCTACAGGAAAGGGCTCCAGATCCAGATAGCCTAGGTTCAAATCCTGGCTCTGCTACTTACCCTGTGATCTTTAGAAAGCTACTTAACTTTCTTAATTCAGTTTCAGTTTTCTCATCTGTGGGGAGTAATAGAAGCTACTTTATGGGGGGGTCATTGTGAAGACTTATAATTGTATGGATCATGCCTGGTGTATAATGTATGCTTAGCAGACATTAACTAACATCAACTACAAGCCTAGCCCTGTACTGGCTATTGGGAACACAGAACAAAAAATTAAGACACAAACTCTGCCCCTTGGAAGGTTACATTTTAGGAAGCAGACAGTCAGGTGAAAGCCAATTATAAGAGTGTGAGGGCTACAATTGGGGAAGCCAAGAGGATCAGTGTTTAAAAAGGAAAAGACAGCTGTAAAACCAAAGTACCTTAGAATTTGCTTCCCAAGAGTGTAACAGAAAAATCTCTGGTCTCTGCAGTTACAGGCTTGGATTCTTGTCTGGCCCTAAAAATTATTCTGTGACTTTGGAAAGGTCTCTTTTCCTCCTTTCTTCAGTTTCATCTGTAAAAATGAGGGCAGTGGATTATCCAATTGATTATTGCCAAGGTCTCTTTTAGACCTAACAAACATGTTACAAGTCAGGTAAAGTCCATACAAAAAGCTAGGACAAATGTAAATAGCAAAGCATTTTTCAAACCACATAGCATTTACTAGCTGGCAAAAAGAACTTAGGTTATCTCTTACCTTTAAGCATGGCAGACTAATCTCTCCCAAATTCAGTGAGTCCCCTCCCTTCCAGAAAATGTCTGACACTTTATAATCCCCCAACACACACACACACACACACACACACACACACACACACACACACACACACACACAGCCTTCTCTCGTGAACTCTTCATAACAACCATACAAATGAAGCATCAAACTCTAACAGGTAAAGTTAGGGGCGCACAGCTGGGAATTTGCAAAATCTGACTCTGACTAGAGGACTCTTGACTCCCAAATCAGTGGTCTCTGCACTGGTCTCCCCTGCGCTGAAGGTAGAGATTCTGGATTCTGGTCCGTGCCCCAGGGTGCACAACCAGTGACAAGAGAATGATCACTTTCCAATGACATTAAGAAATTCGAGGACCCTGGCCCAGTCTCAAAGTCAGAAGAGGCCTCCCGGGGAAGCTAAAGGTAGGAGGTAACTCGATCAAGTAGAGGTATTGGGAGGTATAAGAGATAGGGGCGCTCGGGGAAGAAAGATGTCACAAGGGGACAGTGAAGGAGGTTCATAAAGAGATCAGCATTTGAACTAGGTGCAGAAAGACAGTATTTAGACAAAAGACGTTCCCGGAAGAGAAAACGGCATGAGAAGAAGCCTAGAAGCAACAAAGCCCCCCAATTTACCATCCTATCCTCAGAACGAACAAGGAACCTCGGGAGCTCACTTTGGCCTCACGATCCAGAAGCCTGAACCCATCCCAGTCCAGCCGCTCAGATCGCCCTCTGGATTAGTGCAGATCACCGGTCCCTAGCCCGCACCGTTGTCAAGGTAATCGAGAACAGAAGAAAAACACCTACCGGAAGACCCCAACACCTCAGGCCGCCGCTTCTCTACTGACGGCTTCCGCTCCTGGGGCTATTTCTTGGGGATGAGGGCCTCGCGGAGCCCCGCCCAGCCCGCGCGCTGATTGCGTCGTCTTAGGTGTCCTCAGTGCTGCCTGTATAGAGTTCCAGAGCCGCTGTTGCCCTTTGCTTTCACTTTTCAGGGGGTTACCGGCAAAGTCATGCGTCTGTCTGGACAGGGACTCTGGGGTGCTGTTGCCGGGCAGCACGCGGGCGAACCTGGAATCAGGCGACACGTGGGACAGCCCGACTTCGTGCGGCGGCCTCCCTGAGGTCCCTGTCCTAGCAGCGGTGGTGGTGGCGGCGGCGGCAGCGGCGGCGGCGGCGGCGGCGCGCCGAAGGGACTGGACTGGGCGGAAGAAGTCGAGCCCAAGATATTTCCGGTTCCGGTGTCAGCTCGAGGCGCCGCCGCCGCAGCCGCTGGAGCCGCGATGCCTAAAGGAGGTGAGGGGCGGGCGCGCGTGGCCCGCGGGCTTCAAGGGGAGGCTGGGATCCGACTCCCGCTGTCTCCTCAGCCCGTGGGCGTCCCAGAAAGTGGTGTCGAGGGAGGCCGTCCGCACCGGTTGAGGGCCAGGCCTGGGCTTCGACGCCCAATTGTCACGATGGGGAGACGGGACCATGGTGGGGCCTAGAGTGGCTTCCTTAGTGGGCTGAGGCGTTTCTACGGCTCTGGATCCTCGCCGGCGCGGAGAGCCGGATTCGGGGCGCGCTTCTCCAAACCTGAGGGGTCTGGAGTTTATCCCACTTCTAGGCTGGCTGGGTACTGAGTCACTGCGTCCCATGCTTGTGCCGGGCCCGCCTGCTTCGCGTAAAACGTGGGCCCTTTCTGGCTCCGACTCAGCCAGACCTGCCAAATAAGACTCAACATGATGCTTAAGAGCCTGGTAGATCTGGCTTTGACTCCCCTATTCAGTAGCAATTCATTGTGTTCCTTTGAGCCAGTCGCTTAAACTCCTTGTATCTCAGTTTTCTTATTTGCAAATGGGGCTTATGATTGTACCTACCTCATAGTACTGATGCATGGCTTAAACTAGGTAATCCACGCGGAGTGCGGAATACAGTGCCTCGCGAGCATTAGCTATTGAGGCTTTGCCACCTCTTGGCCAAGAAGGTCCATGGCTTCCCAGTACAATGTATGGAGCTTGTCCTCCATCCTTTTCCACCTTTAGAATCAAGTCCCCAGTTTGAGTCCGAGCTGTGTCACTGTCTAATTCTGTGGTTCTGAACAAGTCATTTAACCTCCTCTGGCCTCTTTTCCTCATCTGAAACACCCAGCGAATAGTCCTAAGCCTGGTGAGTTGGGGATAGGGGTGGTAAAATGATAGAGCGTGCAAAGTACCTGGCTGGCTCCTGGCACAGAATAGATGTCCAGTTAATATTGGTAGCTCTTGTATTGTGTTGGTTAATGCACTCCGCCCACAGGAACATCTGCCTGGAGCTTTTTCAAGCCTAAATCACTTCCTGACTCCAGAGATTTTGGCTTTATAGAACTAAATCTGTTTAAACTTGGCTCTCTACCAATTTAATCTGTGACCGGAAGAACCCTGTCTCTTCTATTGTTCCCTAGTCTTTTCATCTGTAAAAGGGGGTTGCTGAATGAGTCATCCTGTCTCCAAAATCTTATTTAATGGATATTTTGGGCCAAGGTTAGAGGCTACAATTGTAAAACCTTAAATATGAGTTCATGGCTAAATGGTCTTTTGGCTTGCAAAAATTTTTGTGGGCAGACATGGTTTAGGTTTCCTTTAGGATTCATTTGTTTGAAAAGCACAAGAAAACATGAAGGTATTAAAAGAAAAAAAATTCCCCAAGAGCTAAGCCCAACTCTTGTTTCCACGGTGTTAACTGAAGTATTTTTAAAGTCTTGAAAGAGCCTATTATTAAAGATACTGTAACTCAAGCTAGGTCAGTATCCCATAGCCAAGTATTTGAGATGAAAACTTATAGTAATCAACTTTGAGTTGTTACTATTGCCCTGGAATATTAAGAGAGCAATAAAGGGGTGTTAGTTTTTTTTTTAATGGCAAACTTGATCTCACAATAGGATGTTCACGAGTTTGACAGTCTCCTCTGGGAAGCTAGGTAGTCATTAAAATGGGTGGTGTGGTCTGTAGCAGCCCAATTACAGCTCTGCAGCTGCTGTCTAGGAAATTAAGGGAGGCCAGTATCTCTGCTACTGTCTCTGGAGTCTGGAGCAGCTCTGGCTAATTACAGAGTCTGCTCACAGGGAGGGGTTCTCTGGAAATAGGGTGGGCTTCAGCTTCCAGGAGAGGTCCCGTGTGGGGGTCGAAGTCACAGTCACACCTGCATACTCTGGGATCAGCAAAGGGGATGCCACCCTGCTGTAAAACTCACTGATGGCTTCAGCAGGAGTCATTCTATTATCCTGTCTCAAGACTATAAAACTGATATTGTTAGATGAACTTAAATTGCTAGTCACATTTTTAACTCTTAGACTATAGTGAGATTTGTTTTCAACTAACTTGGTCATTTCTTACTTCAAGCACAAAGTTTTTGCCTATATGTTTTGGGTTTTTTTCCTTAAGTATTTTATTTCTACCATACCACTAAGATGAACATGAACTATTTTATTGTATTCTGCATCGGCAGTAAATTACATGGCCAGTGGTGGTGGGTTTTTTTGTTTGTTTTCCCACCAGATACTATACTAGAGAGAAAAGTAAAAACCGTAGCAAACACTTTTGTAGTGTTTATCCAGTGCCAGGTGCTGTTCCAACAGCTTTATGTATAATAGCTAATCTATTTTCATGACAACACTATGAGATAGGGACACAGATAAAACTGAGGATTTGAGAGTTTATATGCCTGCCCAGAGTCACAAGCTAGTAAGCATAGAGCTGAGAATCCAGGGGTTGGACTCTAAAATCTGTGTTCTTCACCACTCTGCTTTGATCTTAAGTCTCCTTGTCTATAAAAATGGGACCAACAATGACTCTTGCACCATAGGTTTATTCTGAGGATAAAATGGGCTCATAGCTGTGACAGAACATTGCAAGCAAAAAGCCCTATAGCAACAGCAGGGGTATAAGTGCTACATGTTTTTGTAATTGCATCTGAGTCCACTATGTTTGAATTCTAAGGGACCAGAGGATTTAGCCAGGAACTCTATGTGGTTCTTATTATTTCAGTGCTTGTTCGTGAGAACCTATATCCAGCACATAGTTTGGTGGTGCATCAGATAGGCACAGGTTGCTCCTTGCATCCCTTTGAACTCATGCGGGTGGGATAGGTTTGGGTGGTGATTTGTGAGGGGTAGGTGAGGTCTCTATGGCCTGTGATGAGAATACTGCAAGCACAACAATCCTCTGGGTGGCAGGGCAGTCAAGACAGCTGTTTCCTTCCTACCTTCCTAAACTGCTGATCTTTGTGCAGGGAGAAAGGGAGGCCACAAAGGCCGGGCAAGGCAGTACACAAGCCCTGAGGAAATTGACGCACAGCTCCAGGCCGAAAAGCAGAAGGCCAGGGTGAGTATGTGCCTGTCTAGGCCACTCCAGTGGCCCCGGGTGGGGTCCTGTCTCTTTGGCTCACAGAGAAGCCAGACAGACTATCCAGTCACAGGGACAAGCCAGTTGCTCTGGGGAGGGCAATGAGTCCCAGAGCAATAAATGATAGTCGGGGCGAGGGGTAGACTTTATAGACTTTATAACTGACTGCATCAGTTATAAAGAACTTTGTTCACTGAGTCGCGGTTGCTTTAGTGAGTCTGTGTTCCTGGTCCTGTGTACTTGCCTTGCGGAGGCTTTCCCTCCACTAGGCTCTCTCCATTCACTGCTCCAACTCCCACAACTCTCCACTTTTCTGCTGCAGCCATGCAGGACGGCTCGCCAGGCTCTACCTAACAGGTGCCATGCCTTCCCACACCCCCAGCAGCAAAGGGCCAGGCATTCCTCAAAATCTTATTCAGCCTCCCCTCCTCTGTGACTCGTGCTGGTGCCACCCTCCCCCACCAAAGTCAGAATTGACTTAGTAGTTCCCTTTCCTCTGTTCCCGTGGTACTTTGTCCAGACTACTGTTAGAAAATAGATGTTTCCATCATTGTTGGTGTCTGTGCTCCCCATAACATCATTAGCTCTCTGCCTGGATTAAGGGCCCAAGGGAGCACAGTCAGGGCCAGACGAGCACACAGCTGTGAAGTACCCCAGGAGCCCTGAGAAGGGAGAGACCACATCTAGCTGTGGGGTCTGAGGGCCTCATGGAGGAGCTGGCAGCAGAGCAGGACCTTGGAGAATGTGTGGGCAGGTGCTAAAAGGGGAAGAACACAAGGTTTTTGTAAGGGAATTTTCTGATGGGAAGGCAAGGGAGGTGGAGGGAAGCGGCCTGCTGAGGTGCTGTCTTGGAAAGCTGGTGCAGTAGGGCACATGGGTGGGTGGGTCGGGATGGCTGGCCTGCCGTGGACTGGGGGAGTGCAGAGGGGGGAGGACTTGCCTGGGATGCCAGTGTGATTTGGCAGCTGCAGGTGACATGTGGGGGAGCTGAGCAGGACTGTGGTGTCTAGCCCCATGGCTGAGTCCTTCTGATCTGAGAGACAAGCTTCTCACTCAGGCTGCCTGAGGTGGCTAGGCTAGGAAGGGGAGCAGGGCCTTTTGTGGCTGTATGAGGGGCTTGTTGGATGGTGGAATGGATAGGCTGCCTGTCTCTGACACATGTTGCCGACCCTGGGGCCAGGGCCACAGAGTAGGACCCTGGTCATTCTTAGTTCTAGCCTTACAGAAACTTGATTTCTCCAGGTCCACAGTCTGAGGGTGGTGGTGGGGGGTCACAGTCTTGGGGGTTTGTTTTGCATTTTTGATTCTGCAGGTTGTCCATTTCTGAAACAGGAAGAAGAGGAACAAGAAGAAGGTGGAGATGGGGCTGCAGGAGACCCCAAAAAAGAGAAGAAATCTCTAGACTCAGATGAGAGTGAGGATGAGGAAGATGACTACCAGGTACTGAGTCTGTTGGGGGCCTGGGGCCTGGATTCATGTATTGAGTGCCTGTTTGTTACCAGTCCCAGTGGTAGGTGCAGACAAAGTCCTTGCTCATAACAGTTTACGTTTTGATGGGGAGATAGAGTCAGTAAGGAAGTAAATGAACAGTATAATTTCAAGTAGTGATAAGGGATCAATCGAATAAAACAGACTGTGATAGAGGGGACCTAGAGTCGTGCTGTGGTGATGGGGTGACTTATAAGCTGAGATTGGGAAAACAAGACACACTCAGCCCTGTGAAATTGGCATGCAGAGCAGTTGAGGCTCTAGATGAGCAAGAGCAAAGGCCCTGGGGCGGGAACAAGCTTGGCATGTTCATGGAACAGAAAGGGGCCAGTGGGCTGTGACTTAGCAGGTATGGAGTGGAGTGGTTCAGGATGGAGGGAGGAAGGTTGGCAAGGGCCACTCCCAAGTGCCTGTGGGGCTTCATTGTGATGGGCAGTGGCCAGCTGGTAGAGGCCTTGTGAGGGGAGAGAGATGACCAGATTTGCTTTTAAAAGATTATTTTGGCTTCTCTGAAAGTGAATTGTAGGGTGTTGAGGGTAGAAGCAGGGAGATAGCAGCAGGAGTCCAGATCAGAAATTGTGGCTTGTGCCAGGGTGGTGACAGTGGCAGTGCAGAAGAGTGGACAGATTTGAGCCATATTTGGGGGTTGCTGAGGGAATGAGGAGTCAAGGGTGTGCTTAGGATTGAGGGGAGGATGAGGTGAGGTGAGGAATGAATCTCAAGTTCTGTCTTACACAGGTTAAGTTTGTAATGCTAGGCGTCCGGGTGGAGTATAGACACGTAGCTGGATTGGGTACAGGCCTGTGGGGTGGAAGCTGTCTCTCAAGATAACATTTCTAGTCAGTCAGCTGAGATTGGTAGGAATTGGACTTGGTCATGAGAACACACATCCTTGGCCCACCTTACCCTGGGGATCCAGCATGTACCTGTTGTAGGGAAAAAATCAGGCACAGGATTCCATGGAAAACTGCTTTTGGAGGCTAAGCTTGAAGTTGGGGAGTAGTGCTCTGTGTGAGTGCTGGTCAGCTGGGCTCATGCTATTTACTGGTTGACCTTGGATGAGTTACTTAACCCTGAGCAACCATTCTGTAGCCTCTAAAACTGGGATAATAGTCCCCGGTTGCCAAGGCTTGGCATCGGTTGGGCTCTTACTGTGCACACTCATTTTCCTTGCCCTTCCCAGGCTGGTGAAGATAGTCCTGAGAGCTGTCCCCACTATGAGACGGGCCAAGTACCATGACGGCTGGGGGTGGAGCAGCAGTTTGTCCCCATCCAGATGGGCTGTTGGGAGATGGTAGGAGTGGCCTTCAGGGGGTCTGCAGGACCTGAACTTCTCCAACAGCCAGCTTCTTGCCCTGTTCTAGCAAAAGCGCAAAGGTGTGGAAGGGCTTATCGACATCGAGAACCCCAACCGGGTGGCACAGACAACCAAAAAGGTCACACAACTGGATCTGGACGGGCCAAAGGAGCTTTCAAGGAGAGAACGGTAATGTCACTGGCTGGGCCTTGTAACCTGGGCATACGAATCAGGGGTTGGCCTGTGGGATGCTGAGGTGCCCGGATCCTCAGCCCTGGCTTCCTGGGTTCCGAGGTCCCCAGTGGCTGGGTGGGGGCACCAGCTGTGTTTATTCCGGTTTCATCTCATTCCCCAAAGACACTACAGTAGCTTTTAAGAAACACACACAATTTGTTTTCACCAGTAGGTATGTATCACTAAAACTCGGACGGTGGATTCAGACCTGAGCATTGCACTTGAAGTACTCGCCCAGGGATTCAGAGGCTTGCCCTTTGTTCCCTTCTTCCAGAGCACCACAGCCTGAGGAGACTCCCTTATACAGTCCAATCTGACCATTCCTGGTCTGCGTCTGTCTGTAGTATTGTAGCCATCGGGATAGGGAGAGGATCAGGGGCAGGGCCTGTGCCAACCAGAAGGCAGCCCAGTGGGGTGCAGGGAGGTTCTGCCTGGCTCAGGTGCCTGCCCCAGGCCTCTCTGAGTCCTGTGTGAAAATGGAGCTGCAAATGACTTCCTCAAGAGTTATGTGAGGATCAAGATCAAGTACCCAAGTCCTTGACTAGTGCCCTGACTTTCGATGGCCACCAGGTGATCTCAAGGGCCTTAGAAGAGGTTAAAGTCTGTGGGGGAAAGCAGCCCTGGTTTCTCTCTGGCTGGGATTTCTATCCACCTTCCTGTTCTGACACATCATGGAGAACATTTGTGTCTAAGAAAGCATACGGGGAAGGCCCATGAGCTTGGATGTGAATGGAGGCTGCTAAGGCCTCTCCTCTACTCCTTCAGTAGCTTCCTTCTCAGTCTTGACTTCCCAGGAATGCAACAGCCTGGGCTGCTACAGGTTCTGCCACTTTACAGCTGTGCAGCCCTGGACAAGTCACTGCCTTTTCTGGGCCCTCAGTATCCTTACCAGTAAAAGGGCGGTCCTGTTGCTACCCTTGCCCTATGGGGCTGTAGTGATGATAACCAGGAAGGCCAGGACCCTGCAGTGAGGGACCCCGCAGAGCCATTGGCAGCCTTGTTCATCATTTCTGAGGGCTCAGCTTAGAGGCTTCTGAGTCTGGCACATCACTGCTAGGGTAGGATCTGCCAGGTGTTATCTCCTCATCTCTGTAGCAGATGTCTTGTCCAGAGTCTCCTGGGTGAGATCCTCAATCCCATTCCTAGTGGCTGAGTTTCTCTCCCTCCCCTCTAGCAAGGCCTCCATGCCACATTTCTCATTATTCCCAACTCTGTACTTTTGAGGGCCTCTGATCTCCTGCCAGGCAGGGCTCTCCCCTCCTTCAGCACTTGGGTCTTCTGGGAACCCAGTACAAATGGGATCCTTTGACTTCACACCCTGGATGCCGTCCACTCCAGTTCAGAAACTCAGGCGTGAGAAGGTCGGCGAAGGGAAACTAATGAGCCTTGCTATTCTCTCTACCTAGTGGGTTGATTACCAACACCTCTGTCCCATGGGAGTCCAGCTTTTACTCCCACACTCCTACTGATGGGGCTCACCCCCTTGGGAGGCAGCCTCTTGCACATCTGAGCTGCTTTGTGAATGTGTCATGTTCAGCTGAGACAATGTATCTTGTTTCCCATTGTGGCCCTTAGTCCATGCCCTACGGCTACTTGGTCTACTTCATTCTTCATTCCTTACAGAGGCTACTTGGTCTACTTCATTCTTCATTCCTTACAGAATGTGGGTTCCAGTGCCTTCCTCCTCCTTGTCATCTTCTCGGAAACATACAGTTAGTTCACTTGGTTTTCTCACTTCAGTCACCAGACTCCAGTCATGAGCTCCCCCTGACAGCTGTCATCCCCTCTCCTGCTAAGGTTTTCACAAGGACACAGGTCTTTTCCCTCTCAGCTGTTCCTCCTGCTTGCTTGTTGGGTGAGTGTCCATCAGGCAGGGGCACCAAGCCAGGACCCCTCCCTCAGCTGGATCACCCTTTTCCACCTTGGCTCTAGGCCTGAGTACTTGGCCTTTATTCTGCTCCTGTGTCCAGCTCGGCCAGCAGTGGGGAAAGATGTGCCCTGTGTCACCTTTTTATCCAAACAGAGAAGAAATTGAGAAGCAGAAAGCAAAAGAACGTTACATGAAGATGCATTTAGCTGGGAAGACAGAACAAGCCAAGGCGGACCTTGCCCGGCTGGCGATCATCCGGAAACAGCGGGAGGAAGCTGCCAGGAAGAAAGAAGAGGAAAGGAAAGGTAAGACCTGGACTGCTCATGCTCGGGCAGCTGCCTGGCTCTGGGTCTGGGCAAAACCTCAAACCCTGAACTTGTGTCCTTGTCTGTGAGATGGGGGTACAGTGAGGAGTGATAGATGGTTGAGTAGAGGCTCCATCCCACATGTGCCCTCCACCTCCTTGGACTGGGAGAGTCCATTGGTGTCATGGAGTCAGATGTGGGTTGGAATCTCATCAGAGCACTGTCCACAGTAGGGGAATAGTTACTGTCCCCCAGTAGCAGGAGACCTCCAGAATCCATGCCCCCAGTACAGACCTTTGAGACTAGAAGGTCCCACTGAGGTCTCTGGTGCCATGTGAAGCCAGGAGAGCTGCCTGGGGTCACCAGTGTCCATCCGAGGGATTGGGAGGGTGGGCTACATACATAACAGTGCAGACCCAGATGAAATGTGGCCCAAGTGTCCTTCTTCCTTGTGTCCTTCCCCAGGCAGGTCAGAGTGGCTATGGGGAGCGGTCCAGTTTATAGGAGCATTTGACTTGTGACCTTCAAATCCCACTGACTTGCCTCCTCACTGGGTCAGAAGGAAACTGGGGCCTATAAAGGGGAAATCAGATTGCTCAGGGGCACTGTTATTTCCTCCAGAAATCCAGTTATCCCAACTCCCTACTTATCTCTGCTTCACAAACCCCAAGTGGGAAAGGACTTCATGTGTAACTGCAAAGGTTGTTGCTGATTTGGGAATTATAGGATTCTGCTGGGAAGGCAGGGTGAGGTGGTTTCCATTTGCTCACACCACTGTGTATTAATGGGCCTGTGTGGAGGGGGCAACAGCTACTGGAATAGTTGGGAATGTCTGGGTGCCTGATGTCTGGTAGCTCCTGCAGGGGCATCAGCCTCGGCCCTTCTCCTTGGGTCCCTTCCTTGTGTGCCAGCTGAGCAAGTTGCACAAAATGTTTTCTGAAGACCTAAAGTTCTGTTAGTGTGTGTTGTTTTGCTTTATTCTAACTCCTACCCTTCCCTTCCAACCCTCAGCAAAAGATGATGCCACATTGTCAGGAAAACGAATGCAGTCGCTCTCCCTGAATAAATAAACGTGACCCGTGGGAGGAGATGCCAGGGAACTGGGCCGCGCCGCCAGGACCTCTGCTGTGTCTCGCTCACCCTGTGCCCTGGTGCCGCTGCAGCAGCCCCTCAAGGCCAGGAGCCCCCACAGCATGGGGCCTCCTTTTCATCTTGGCACAGAAATTGGGGGGATGTGGGGGGGGCTGGGGGAGGGGCAGCTGCTATCTTTGAGACAGAAAGATGCAGGACAGCATTTCGTATGTAACCATTTGAATGTTTTTGCCGTTTTTAGAATTCAGAACCCTTGTTGGGGGGTGCCTGGGAGGTGGGGTAAGAAGAGCTTCCATTTGTCTGGTAGATTGCACGTTAGTGGGCGGTTGTGCCAGGAGGCGGCTGCTAAGAAGTTACAGACAACCAGCCCTGTCTGTGTGGCCTGGGTGCTCATTCAGAGAGGGGCTGTCATCTGGGAGCCTGTGCCTCTGGGTCCCTGAGGGTCATAGCTTGTCCCTGGCCAGTCCCCTCTTTCTGAGGCTTCTCTCTGCCCTTCTCCACCCCATTCCTACCTACCCGGCCAGGGCTTGGGCCCATTTTTAACCCTACCCGTTGATCATTTCAATAACCTCTGTTGACTTTGCAGCACCCAGGCAAAACATGCTCCACAAATTCAACTTGTATATTTGGCAGATTAAACTTGACATTATCATAATCCTTGTTCTGTAATCCATCCTTTGGCTCCTGTGCCTGAGCCATTTTTACCCAGCAAGTCCTGGTGTCACTCAGGCAGGTGCACCGGGAAGGTTCAGGGTGTGTACCCAGCTGGGTAAGACTTCTTGAGGTGGCATGAAGCAGGGTGCTGGGACTGGACCCCTGAATTAGAGCTGGGAGAGACCTCAGATGCCAGAGCAGCCAGAGACCCTTCCAGCCCACAGCAGGCTGAAGTAGCACCTGGTATCCCTCTTCTGGCCTCCAGGTGTCCCCCAGCAGTGACAGCCTCAGGAATCCGGGATATCCAGCGCTGCCTGGGAGATACTAATCATCTCCTTCAGTCCTTACCACCCTGTATGGCAGGGACTGGCAACAGGGAACTGAGGCTTAGAGCAATCAAGTTGAGCAGCCTGCACATTCAGGCCCAGTGAAAGGTCACCCTGTGGCCCCTGTCCTGCGCCTGCAGCCCTCTGTGAGGAGGATCATCACCTTGTGAACAACAGCATACTTTTGTCAGAGGTCAGTGGTCCGTTAACATGACTGGGTGTTGGGTGGGGTGAAGGGTGAGGGTGTGGCTTGCCCATGGTCGGGCAAAATGACTTAGTGGCAGAGATGAAATCAAACCTCAGACTTCCAGCAGCCTTTACCAGACACACCTGGGCTTGACCAAGTTGGCATCTATAGTCCTAGGAGGGGCACCCCAGCTGCCAGCATCTGCCTCTCGCTCTGATCTCCCACAAGCCCAGGAGGAAAAGCCTCTAAACCTGGCCCCTGAGAAGCAGGAATTACAGTGAAGATTTTGCCAGAGCACCTCCCCATCCCCTGGAAGCCATGTAGTAGCTGCCCAAGTTTAACTCTGTAACTGAAAATGAGATACTCTGACAAGATGGAGGGTTGAAGAAGGAAGTAACTGGCAAGATTCACAGTACTCAGTGGCTGGCTCTAAGAGCAGTAAAGAAGTAGGTGTCTTGTGGCTGGAAGCCAGAGGTCTGTGTGAATGGCTGGTGTGAAGAGGCTGTTTGGCAAGGTTCCCTCTGCATGTCCAGGACAGTCCTTCTCTTGTTCTCCTTTGAGGAGTCTGTCAGCCTAGGTGTGTGGTTTTTCAGGTCTCACCTGGGTTCGTGGGGTATTGTGCCGACCAGAGTTCCTGATGGCTAAGAGTGTTTCCCTTGCAGCTCAGCCAGATGACTTTTGAATAGACGCCCCTGCATTGGGGCTTAGAAGTCAGACATGAGTTTAAATTCTGGCACTGCCACTTTCAGCCCGTGGGACTTTGTAACTTCTTTCTCTGGTGTTCAGTTGCCTCTTTCAAATGTGTAGCAAGGCTTCCTTACCAAAGGTGCACACATTGGCATGTGCCTACTAGGACTCCTCCAGCTGTGTCTTCTACCATTCACCCACATCACCAGAGCCAACATCTTTTTTTTTTTTTGAGACAGAGTCTCACTTTGTTGCCCGGGCTACAGTGAGTGCCGTGGCCTCAGCCTAGCTCACAGCGACCTCAATCTCCTGGGCTCAAGCGATCCTACTGCCTCAGCCTCCTGAGTAGCTGGGACTACTGGCATGTACCACTATGCCCGGCTAATTTTTTGTATATATATTTTTAGTTGGTCAATTAATTTCTTTCTATTTTTAGTAGAGACAGGGTCTTGCTCAGACTGGTTTTGAACTCCTGACCTTGAGCAATCCGCCCGCCTCAGCCTCCCAGAGTACTAGGATTATAGGCGTGAGCCACCACACCTGGCCCAGAGCTAGCATTTTGTGGGTCCCCAGGGCCTGTACAATTTGCACCCCACTGCCCAATCCATCATCTCACCTGCACAGCTGCGGTGCCCTCCTTGTGGGCCTGCGGTCCAGTCTCTAGAATGTAAAGCCAGCCAGGTCCCTCTCCAGCTCCCGAATTCCCTTGATGCCAAAGACTACCAGGAGCTGGTCCTCGGGGACCTCCTTTTCAGCATCTTGTCCCATGTCAACCTCATCCTGCTCTCTATATCGGTCCTTCAGCTCCTTGAAGGTGCTATACCTTCCTTGCTTAGAGGGAAGCCTCAGCCGCCCCCCACCCTTCCTTTTCTTGCCCTCCTCTGGACACTGGGTTGTCATCATCTGCCTCTTCCACCAGACTGTGCTTCTTGAAGGAAGCAGCAGTCCCTTTAATGTCCAGCAGGGCTGGCATGGAGGCAGGCTCAGCAAGCCCAGCCAGTGGTCCTGGCAGCTAATGCTGACGTCCAACAGAGCAGGGCCCAAAGGACCCTACTTTCCTGACTGGCCATCTGCCTGCCACAGGAGTTTTGGCCACCCTTGTAGGGACCCAGTCCCACATAATACCTTTTCCTTGCAGGAAGCATATGACTATGAACCTGTCATTTTTAAGCCAAGACCTGTGCCCCTCTGAGATAGCCTACGCATCTGTAATAAGGGAGGTCAAATGATCAGCTGACATCTGCCCTGAGACCAAACAAGAGCACACCTGCCATTGATAATTCTCTAACAGTAGAGGACAGGCTTGTTGCTCAGGGTCACAGAGAAGGGGAAGAACACTGATTGGATATTGCCAAGGCTCACACTTTCCTGTCAAAGAAGCCACAAAACATGTGCGAAGGCATCCCTGCCCTGCAGTGCAGTCACATCAGACCCAGGATGGAACCTCACTTTGCAGCATGTGGGCACAGGCTGGGATTGCATTTAGGAATAAGGGGAGACATTTCCTCCTGGGGTCTTGCAATTTCTGTCTCACTGTGATTAAACAATCAGTGGGGTCTTTTCCCATGGAGGAGGACACTAGAACAGTGGCAGATAAGACATCTTTAAGAGTCCATTTTATCCTACAAATGTAAGGGTAATTCATCAGGAAATCTGTTGATATAATTCATTACCTAGTTAGATTAAGAGAAAAACTATGATAATAGAAATGGCTAACCAAAAAGCATGTGATTAAACAGACCAAAACACCCTCTGACTAAAATAGGAATAGGAAGAAATCTTCCTAGAAAATGATGAACATTTATCAGAAATCAACTGCCAACATCATCATGGAGAAATAAATTCCCATTAAGGCCCAGGATCAGCCTGGAATGTGCAGCCCCTTTGTCAAGAAATCTGCTCATCGGCTGACACCTGGTCCTGGCAGCCCTGAGCTTGGTAGCCTGGGCTGGACTGCAGGAGAGAAGGAACCATTTGGGGTAAGGCTCTCAGGGGCTTCAGGATTGTGTTGGCAGTAGCAAAAATAAGCTATCTGTGCCCTTGTAGAAACCAAGTTCTCCTTCCAAACACAGGCAGGCATGTCCACCATTGCATTTTTATTACCTCCACATTTTGAAGCAGTTCATGACCAGCATAGTGCTTTGGGGGCATTTTTTTTTTACAATAAATGAAAGCATCTCTTTAAGAAAAAGGCACAGGTTTCTTGAATAGGTAAGACATCTGCAGAGCCCCTGCTTGAGGCCTGTGTCCTCCCCTTTGGAGGGAGCGGCCCCTGTGGGGACCCATACTGGTACCCTAGAAACATTCAGCAAAGCGACCCTTACCTCCCTGACCCCCTTGCCCCACTTCCCCAGCAGCTGGGATGAAGGCAACATATTCCTCATGGGTTATTTGATCTTGAGGTCCTTCAAGGCTGACTCCAAGCTCTATAAGGAGGCAGAATGGACATGCTGGTTCTCAGTTGTCCTGTAGACACCCACCCCATGCCCAGGGACCTTATTTATCTATACCCAGCTCAGCCCCAGCACAGCAGAGGACAGAGAACCTTGTCTTTGGAGTCTAGCAAAACCTGAGGGCTGAGTTTGAATGCCAGCCCTCAAGCAGGGTGCCCCAGAGGGCACTAAGGCCTACGTGTTAAGGGGCTGCCCCCACCCCTTATCCCCTTGCAGTGCCTTCTCCGCAGAGGGAAAGGGAGGAAGGGTTGACCTTGGTTGGGGGCGTGGCCAGAAGCCAGGTAGGGCAGGCCTCACCTTCACATCCCAGATGCTCATGCCGCCATCCATGCCAGTGGTGCAGAACTGTGAGCACTTGGCCTTGCCCCCGCTGAGCACCGAGATCTGGCTGCAAAGAGGATAAGGGGGTTATGGTTCCCAGCCTGTGCTGCTGCTGAACTTAGGTCCATCCTGTCGGCCAAGTGCTCCAAACTCCTGGGGGAGTGGGCTCCAGTAAGAAGTGCCCAGATGGGGTGTAACCTGCCAGGAACCTCCTAGAACAGCCTGGGAGGTGGGCTTAGGAGCCTGCTTTGGGGGTGAGCTGTGGTATATGAGTTGCAAGGGGCAACCTAGGCAAATGGGGCAGGCCACTCAAAGGCCTGGGCAGCAGGAAGGGCATGTCTGGGGTAGATAACCTGAGGGCCAGTAGTGTGGTGCGACGGGAGAAAAAAGAAGCAAGGGACTGGGCTGGGATTAAGCAGGGGCTACTTGACAGGGCAAAAGTGTTTCATCTGAAGAAGCCAAAGGATCTGGCAGCCACAGGAGGGTTTAAGAGGCTGAGGGGCTCGATCAGAAATACCGCTGCTCCCCTGACTCGATGCCCGGTGGAATAAAAAACTGGCAGCTTTTGGGTTTTGGAGGGTCTCTTCCCGTCCCACCCTAGCTCCTCAGAAAGCTGCCAGGCGAACCTCAGCTCCGCCCCCCACCTTACAGGGTTCTAGGCCCGCCCTAGCCACGACCCTGCCTCCAAGAAAACCCTGCTGGCCACCCCGCAGAACCACAGGCCCCACCCGTACGACAGTCCCCACCCAGTTGTCTCCTAAAGATGCAGAGCGGGGCTGACAGTTACTTTCGTGAAACCCAAATAGGTCGGGTCCCATGCTGTCCCTCCTGGAACAGGTGGACGCTACTGAGGTTAGGGTCAGACCTGCCCCGCCCTCACCCAGGCAGTTCTAGCGGCCGAGGCCCCGCCCCCACCCTCACCTGACGCTGTTCTTGTGCAGTGAGTCTAGGCCGGCACCGCCCGCCGCGCCGCCCTCCGAGCTAGCCTTCTTATCCAGGTTCTGGAAGCGCTCGCGGGCTGTCAAGC